GCCTTGAGATGTCAGTGGCAAAATACATCGATGTTTTTTTTTGGTTCGATGCATCGAAATGTATATCGATATTTTTCGATGCGTCGAAGGGCATACATCGGTGTGTCGATTTGCATAGGATTTTTCAGATAATGTTTCACAAGAAAACATGTTATTAGCAAAATTGTAGAAAATTTTAAATAAATTACTCCAACTGAGCTAATTTTGGGTTGACTTCGCGAGAGTGCACCACGCTTTGAACAAAATGACTTTATGGGGGGTGTTGAGGGGGTCGTACACATCACAAAACTGAAAACTGCACGGCGAGGAAACTCATAGTTTACGAATCATTTGTTGGTAAAGTTGAAATTTTCACCCAACAAAATGTACGATAACAAACCATTTCAAATAAATACAAGTGCGCAGAAAACACCCATTCCAACTAAATTAAGCTATTTGAACGTTTATCTATTTCATATTTTATTAATTTCATTATTTAACGATTAGGAACACGTTTATAAATTTGTTTACTTTTCTTTAGAGAGCCCAACCAGTATGAAAGTGCAAGTATGGACAATTACGAAGATGGCCGCATGTGTGATTAAGTGATGCCAGAATACGTTTCAAAATATGTTGCCGAATATGATAAGTTCTATTTTATTATGAGTTCTATGAGAGAAGTTCTGCTCAAAAATACTTCTGCTCATTTTCTTCGCAACACATAAAGAGAATCCTACTTTGTGAGGTTTATAATCCCTAAGCGCGGCCGCAGGCCGCCTACGCAGAAAGAATTTCTGCTCAAAAATACTTCTGCTTACTTTCTTCCCCACACAGAAAGAGAGTTCTACATTGTTAGTGTTATAATCCTTAAGCGCGGCCGCAGGCCGCCTACGCAAAGACAAGTTCTGCTCAAAAATACTTCAGCTCAATTACCTCGCAACACAGAAAGAGAACTCTGCTTTGTGAGGGTTATAATCCCTAAGCGCAGCTGCAGGCCGCCTACGCAGAAAGCAGTTCTGCTCAAAAATACGTTTGCTTATTTTTTTCGCAATACAAAAGGAGAATTCTACATTGTGAGGGTTATAATCCCTAAGCGCACCATTCCAATTTTTTTGGTCAAAGTTATTTCTCTTTTTTGAACAATTGAAAAGCTGGAATGACGGTTCAATGAAGCAGAGATGTCAGTTTTCAAAAAATATTGCAGCACCGATACATCAACTATTTATACAGCGAGTGAAAATTTTTCGATGCATCGAAGCAAAACAGACATTTTCGATGCATCGATGTTTTTCCGACATATCTACGCTAGCCATATGCAGTCTATGGTAATTCTCTAGTATAGGGTAACAACTCCTAAAAAAAGGTCCGGAAAAGTCGGGAGGGGTACCAAGCGACGCGTTCCGGTCCCCCTATTAACAATCTGGAGGGGGAGGGCTAATATTATTAACCATTTAAAAGTTATAAACAAAAAACTTTTGTTAAATTTCGTTGTTTTCTATGAGCAATTACCAAATCAAAAATGCACTAAATCACCAGTTTCTACTTTCAAAACACTAATAAAACGTCTCCGGTTATTATTTTATGCAAACAAAATCATTTATTCATTTTTATTTTATATATTTCGTTAATAAAACAGAGTAAACAAACTTTGCGCCTGCCAAAATTATTATAACCTCAAATCGCTGGTATCGCCACTTTATTTCACATTTCATTTGCGCTATTACACTCAGTTTACATTATACACTTCTTTTTTTACTTTCACCTAAATAAAATATTCTAACCAAAATATAATATCAAATTTCGCTATACCATGGCAGCGCTACTTTTATGGTTTACAGTTACTTATCGAAGTATTGATTTTTATGGAAAAAGCGCTGCAGGCGAAAATTTGTAATAAAAAATAGCCCTATGCGTATTTACATCTACCTGAGCCCTTATCTTATCAGCCTTATCGTAATAGTACTTTCTGCTATTAAACGTGAAATCAAATGTGCATTGCCGTTTTCCATTTTAATTTTTAACTGTTTTTTTGTAATAAAAAAAGGCGTGAGTACTTATTAGGTATTCATGAAATTTGATGTGTAAACATATTCGAACGGCAAAGCATAAAAGTACGTTTACATATAAGTATAATCGCAATCAACGCTCGTTAGCTGTCAAGTTAGTTGTGCTTGTTATTCACCCAACTCGAGGTAAAGTTAAACTTCTTCTCTGCGCCACCGTGGTCACTTTTTTCTCCTACATATATTATGCTATTTAAATATACTTTAACTGAATAATAATAATAATACTTTGGCGCTTACACATAAGTTAGTGTTTGGCCGAGCTTCTCCTTTAACTGAATACTATATTAAAAATACCTTTACAAACCTCTTTTCCTTACTAGCAAAATTCTTGTTTACTTTTATATTTGACATTCCTCCTCTTCTTCGTATAATCTATAAAACTAGGTTTGACACCAAAAAGTTATCGGTTTAATCTGGGATAATTTTATACTTATACAGATTAGGGAGTTAAGCTCGAAAATGTGGATAATCTTTATATATGTAAAGGTATTCTTAGGCGATTCAGTTACATACATACAAATGTAGGTTAGGTTAGAAATTTAACATTAATTTCACTTACTTTTATTAATTTTGCTGATTTAATTTGTTTATTCAGTTTCATTTTTAATTATTTTAATACATGAAATTATCGGTATGATTGATGAAATATGATACTTGTATATACTTGTGTCATCCGCACCAATTACTGTTCCTGAGCTTATAGATTGAGTATTTCTATTTGTATATGTATATTCCTAAATTTAGTTTTTCTTTTCGGAATATAATCTGTGGTTAATGTAAATGAGAGCGATTTTTGAAGAGTTGTGTAGAGATTGAAGTTGCAAGATTTTACCCGATGATTTTTTTGTTCCGTACGTGTTGCTGTTACTCACTTTTTATTCTCACTTTAGAGAGTGATTTTGCTGTTTGACCTTTTCCAGGATTTTTAACGAAAAGTATTGGATCAGAGCTATTATATCATCCATGCATATGTATATTATACATACATATATGAATGTATGTTCATCACTTATCAACGGTCCCAATTAAAATGATTTCAGTATTTTTTTTTAATTTTCGACTTTCTTTTTTATCAAAATAGGATACTAACAGGCCTATTCTGCTTGTTACCGAACATTTTGACACCGACAACTCTTGTTACCAGATAATAACACCACTTCTTGTAACCGCAATTCTAGGCACCTTGGTAACAGCTTAATCTAATCAGCAATTCAGCTATGAAGTATAAATTTTGGTGTTGCATACTTCACGGGGCAATATTTTGTTACCTGGTTATGAGATGGTAACAAAATTTATCAATGCGCAGAATGCGAAAAGGATTTAAAAATTACCAGGAGCTTTATTTACCGGTAACAAAATTTTTGTTACCAACGTAGAATAGACCTGTAAATCTATGCCTAAAACCATCTATTTACGAATATCAAAGCCTGTGGCACCAAATGAGTTCCTACATATATATGTACATACAAACTTAAGAATGCATACATATACATAGGTACACAGCCGTATGCATGGCTGGAGTGTGCATAATCGGAAGTAATTATCGATTGTACCGCATTTCCTCTTACTATGCATATGCTNTACAAACTTAAGAATGCATACATATACATAGGTACACAGCCGTATGCATGTCTGGAGTGTGCATAATCGGAAGTAATTGTCGATTGTACCGCATTTCCTCTTACTATGCATATGCCTAAATGTATGCAACCATTTACAATAGCAAGTAAACACAGGGCGATTCTATTGAAATCAAAAGTTTTCTGCTGAAATACACATGCACGCCCTTCGAAATTTTCTGCTGAGCTATGCGTTACAGCTTCGCAAATTTCACCCCTACCGAAACCAAAGAAGTATACACATAAAAAAAAAATCTTCTTTTTAAGTTTTCTAACGTTTTTTGTTAAAGTATGGGTAGTTTCCTATTTTGAGTCGCGTGACAGTATTCACAATAACACAGTTGTTCGTATTTGGGTTTATCTAATTTATTTCCCATTCAAGAATTTTTAAGTCTGGTCTTATATTTTTGTTTCTTGTAAAAATGTAGCTTTTTTATTATTATTATTTATATTTTTTTATAGTGCTTTTTCTCTTTGAAGAGTCCCGTAGAAATAGCAAAGCTAAGCTTAATTTATAAAACCGGAGGGTCCCCTTTCGGTGGTGAATCGCGACTTTTTATTTAAAAATGTAATAAGCTGTTCTAGCCTGTTTATATTGAAGTTACCCTTATTCACATATGAACACTTCGTCGTCTTGTGCCAAAATTTTCGCAATATTGTAAACGCTCGTATTTGTGAAAGGGGGCTTTTGTACTCTGGAGGGTCTGGAGTTCAGAATCGCAGAATTAAGCTTCGGTTAAAACCCGGATTTAAAGTTTGGTTTAGTAACTTATAGGCTGTACAAGACGAACTTTATAGTTTTACTTTTATTTCTTGATCCCTTCTAGGAAGAGAGGCTTTTACACTTTGGAGGGTCTGGAGTTCAGAATCGCAGAATTAATCTCATGTTATAAACCGGAATTATGATTTCATTTAGAATTTATGGGCTGTATAAGCCATATTTTATATTTATTTCGCGAATCGTTGCTACTGATCCTTCTTCAAGAGTATATTTGTTGCAGTTGTCCGCTGCAGTCGCTTTCTTATTTTTTCTGATAAATTTAAAAACTTTTTTCATACATTTAACTTTTTTTCCTATTTCTTTCCAAAAAATATTTTCATCTGTTGGAGCATGTTCTTCAGCAGGGCTGTAAAACATTTCAGTCAAATTGGATTGCAATCGCATATTTTACGTAATACTGCAATCTGTAGTGGGATTCGCCATTCTATTTTAACGATTATCGAATCGTTAAGAAAACTTAATCACGATTTTAACGATTTGACAATTCGCTAAACATATTTTAACGATATTCGCTATCGCTTGATCAGCTGTTGTCGTTAACTACTCGATACTCGTTAAGTAAACGACGAATATTTTGAAGTTGTTAGCGGCATCGACAAAAGAAAATTTGATATTTCATTTGAGTTAAAATAAAATAATATAGATCGCGAATTTACTTAAGTAATATATAAAAGAAAAACTTTTTGTTAAAAATGGCATTTGAGTATTTGGCATACGTTTTATCCCAAGATGAGGAGATAATAAGCTCTTCATCAGTGGATAGACGTTTGCTTCGAGAAGTGGACAACCCTTTCGACTTGGCTGCAACTGAGTTTCGTAACCTTTACCGATTAACCCCAGACTTGGTTGAAGATATTGTTTCCCAGCTTGATAGCCAATTAAGGGGTCGAAGAATAACTGCGATAACGACAGAGAAACAGGTAAATAATGTAATTTTCAAGTATTTTTCAATTTTAAATGATTTTGTAAATTTTAAAGGTTCTAACTGCCTTGCGATTCTTCGCAACTGGCTGTTATCAATGTCCAGTCGGAGAGCAATGGGGGATATCCATGAGCCAGTCGTCCGTAAGTCGCTGTATACATCGCGTAACGGATGCAATAAACCGCACCATGTTTTTGGCAAAGGTTAGGTTTCCAATGACCCAAATAGAGCGGCAAGCTGCAAAAGAAATTTTCGCCTCAGCATCCGCACCATTTGTAGGAGGTACTATTGGGGCTATCGATTGCACTCATGTGTCAATCATGAGCCCAAAGCATCATGAAGAAGCGTATGTCAACCACCATGGATACCATTCTATCAATGTGCAAATGGTAAGAGTAAAATTTGCTCAAGGGTTAAACTACTGAGTATTAA